CCCACAGAAGAAGATATTGATTTCCGAGTTCATTCTAACCAAGATTTCAAGAGATAGCCATGAAAATTTGTAACAGACGATAGAATAGATAGCTAGACACGCAACCAAATGGCAAAACCAGAAAGTTTCTCGGGAGACGTGGGGGAGGGGGGGGGGCTATATTTAACATTGTTCTCCCTAAATTACATTACAAAAGAACTTAATGATGACAGGATGTGCTAGTCTTTCCTACATGTAATGGCTCTTAATAAATCATAAGATGAAGTACTTAACATTAAGATGAACACTATTGTAGTTTAACATGAGATGTACTTAACTTTCACACTAATATTTTATGATACTTTGAACTATCTCAAAAAAGTTTATAAGTATATATCTACATTCCCTCTTTAACATCAAAAAACTTAATTGTTAAATCATTATCAACGGCACATTACTTTCCATGATAATGTAATCATGAAAATGTCCGGTTTTACAACAGCAATGTTGTGTCTATTATGGAATGGTAGAGTGCATGATTTGTCCTGTTATAACAAATCCTTGTTCGATGAAGCAAAAAACAGGTGCTAGATCTTTTCACAGGGAAGAAAAATATTATTTCAGTGTTGGAAACTTTAAAAATGTGCTTAATGACGGTCTAAATATAAGCAATTTAAAGGCTGAATCATGTGGCAAAGTGCCAATAATTATTGTGCTTTGCAATTAAACCACGAAAAATGGTTTTCCTATTACGGTTGTTCAAAAATGTTATGTCATGTTGGAATGACCATTTAAAGGTATGTTAATATGTTTCATTAATTGATAAAAGAAGATTTTCTTCAATAAATCAATGATTAAACATATCTGATGTCACGTACAATACGTTGCAATTCAGAGAGTCAAAGTGAAGCTGACGGGCAAGGGTAAAGAAAGAATGCAGACATGGCCAGAAAAACCGAAAGTACAGAACGATCAGGGGTGTTTTTTGTCTATAAAACAATTAGCCCAGATAAAGAATGGGTAAAAAGCGTGGTGGACAGACTGGAGAAAACTGGACAGAGATGTTTCTATCACGAGCGAGATTTCTTTCCTGGTCTCGCGATCATCCAGAACATCGTGGAATTTCTACAACGATCTTCAAAGGTTATTGTGGTGTTAACACCAGCATTTTTACAGAGCCAGTGGGTTGAATTTGAAACCCAGCTTGCAAAGCAGATCAACATCCAGAATCCAGAACAACTTCAAGTAATCCCGGTGCTTCTAGAAAATTGTGACATCCCCCCGTTTCTCAGCACTACAACTTATTTAGATGTCCAAGGAAAATTTAAAGAACAGTGGTTTGCAAATCTCAAAAAAAGCCTGGAATATGATTGTAAGTCGCATCATACAACACACACGATCCATTTTAAAAATTAAATACAAGTATTTTTTTTAAAATATGTATTATGTTTTAGGTCAAAAGGAACAGAAATTCGTTAAATCGGGAGACATTCAAAGAAATCTATTTTGTAAATTAAAAAGTGTGCAAGGAAAACAAAAAAGCGATTTCCTGGAATCGTGGCTTATAGATCTATGTTTTACGGATCATGATCACATTATTGTCACAGACGCTAAAAACAAGAAACTCAAGAAATTTGTCTCCCGTGGAGAAAATATCGGAACTATGGTTGACGTTTTGGAATTTGATTCTCGTCCAATGTTTCTTACCCTGTTTAACGACATGTCAGGCCACAATTAAAATATTGTTGGTTTGGCGTTGCCGACTTAGTCTTTATACGTTTGGTTCGGTAGGTAGGGAAAATATTTTTTTTTATTTAAATTTCAAAAATGGTACATGTTGTTAGTATCCAAAAGTCATGGGTTTTCGATAGTTTAACAACCACAGTCCGAATTGATTCTCAGTTTTGTCATTGATTTTCATACCCTATTAATTTTAAACTTTTAATATACATGTACAGAGTATTAAAAATCACCGACATTAAATTAGTGTAAATTCGAATCATATGTGCACGAATCCAAGCATGGCAGCTAGACTAGCAAATTGGACAAGACATTGTACCGTGAAATTTCTGTTTTGAATTGGTATATCTTATTCATCAGTTTACTTTTAAAACCACATTACCACAGAGAGTCATGTCATCAACTTCTGTTATACCGAGTTTACATTTTACCGCTTTCAACAGCCATGCTTGGATTCGTGATACGCATTTATTCAACGTCACATAGACGCTTATAAATGAAAACTGTTTGATCAATCAAGCGTTTACATGATTCTTTCCCATTCTGTACATATTACGCAAACGTACAAACACCTAAATCCGGATGAATAAAACGAAATAAAAATTATGATCAATATCTGTTGAAAAAATTCTTCCGACCGCACCGATTTATGCGAGTCGGCCGGCAACGCCAAACAAAGCTAATTTTATTTTTGGCCTCAGCTTATATTACGTTTCCTGACGATGAATTCATTCGGGTCATTAGTGCTGGAAAATCACAAATGGCAATCACAGACATGTTCTCTGTTCCATTACAGTGTGGTGGAATCTGTAAATTAGACGAAGAAAAGTTTGCCGTTTGTTGTCGTAGTCTGCAAAAAATAATTATATTGCAGCGGAACGGAATTCAGCTTTCTGAAATAAGACCTTTGAAAGGTGACCCCTTTGAAATCTCAGAAATTGACGTGGAACGATTCTGTAAGGAAGGTGTAGAAGGATTACAAACACAGGAGTCGGATTCCGGTGTGACCGAGAATAATTGCAAACAGATTCCTTTTGGAGGGGTGGACGACGAACAAAATATACGGGGACTGGAGGAAGGCGACTCAGGGTTATCCTCTCATTTCCATAATACCATTCCTACAGGTATCCCAAAATCAGCAGCCATGAATGAAGCTTATGATACTGATGAAGAAAACGATAATTTTGTAACGTTTGATAAACACAAAGGAGGAAAGAAAGATTTTAATTTTTTAAAGTCAAACAGGTTAAAAGCCAGAGAGGACCAAACTCATTTTGTTATGCCAAATCACATTTCGGCCACGTCAGATGGTGTAGGTGGATGGATGATATACGTTGGCGATTATACAACAAAGTGCATCACTGTTATTTACATGGCAAAAAATGGTTCCTTTCGGTATCGACCCTTATCACCGCTTCAGGATCCCCGTGGGATTCTGGTTTATGGCGAAACCGTTCTTGTTGCTACAGGAAATGTCCGCATTTATACTGATAAACATATGAGAAAAGCATCGGAACAAAAGCTTGCCATTGAGGCAACTTATCCAAGATCACTAGCAGTGAATAGGAAGGGCGATCTTTTCGCGCTCACACATAAAGGTGATGGAGACGAATTTGTTTCCATATACACACTATAGATAATGATTTGAGGCAGGATATTGTAGCAACCGCTAATGATAAAAAGCCGCTTAATGCTAGAAATATCATTAAGCGTTGCAATGCAACGCTTAATGTCATAAATTATTGCATGAATAGTTGATATTCTCAAACACTTAGTGATATAATTCTTTCAGTAAGCGGCAATTTAGCAATAGCGGTTGAGAATGTCAACTATAAATGCAATAATTCATGGCAATAAGCGTTGCAGTGCAACGCTTAATGATATTTCTATCATTAAGCGGCGTCTTGTCATTAGCGGTTGCTACAGGGCATCTTCGCTAGATGGAGACAGTTCTGGTGGTACTTTTGTAGGATTGCAGAACTAAGCAAAAACCATTTGAACACTTGTGTACTTTAACATAATTTCATATCTGTCATGTACATTTTGACTTTACCGGGTGGCAGTAAATACAAAATTTACAATGCAGTGATCTAGGAGAGGGAATGTTTCATTTCAAATCAGGAAACTGAGACTTTGTTTTTTCCTTAAAATAGAGTTTCCTATATTAAACTTTGAATCAAATAGCAGACTTACCTTGAATCGAGTTTTTTTTTTTATTGTATCAATCTTAATAAGCAGCTACAAGACCCTTTTAAAAATATTTTTATATCTTATTTATGCATAATTGTATTTATTTTGAATGTTGTTTTACTCAATTGTTGTTTTTAAATACAACATGAATGTCCAAGTGAGCTTGAAATATAAGATATTACAGAGTCTGACACATCTGTTTCATATTTGGATATTTCACTAGAAAAAGACGTTAATGGTAACCTAGCAACAAAACTTTATGATACACGTGATGGCTTCAACTTTTCAATTGTCAACCTCCTTTTCTTGTGTAGCAATATACCCTTATCACCTGCATATGGGGTTTATGTCTCTGTTGATTCGATACGCAAGAGCTTAATCTACGCACAAACTATTTCTAAAAACGAGGCAAGCTATTGACAAACAAGTCGATGAAACAAGAACATCAACAGTCTAGTTCAAAGTCAACATTCTGCAGGTTTTATGGTCGATACAATGAACTTGTCCACAAAATAATACAATCTATCATTAAGTCAAATGCTGACTGATGTTTTTCATACCAATTGTTAGGCAATCATTTATACACTGAATTGCCAAAAGATTTTTCCTTTTTTATCCCCGATCATGACAAGGAGCACAGAGCGGGTGTGACTATCAGCAGGGGATGCTCATTCCTCCATGGCTCTTGATACCACCTCTGATGTTTCAGAAGTCCATGTTTGCTCTGCTCCTGACTTAAATAGTTTTAATGGACTTATGAGCTTGAAAACTGTTTGTTATCTCTTAATTTCATTAAAGTTACAAATAAAATACTTATAATGACTTAACAGGATTTCATGAAGACACTTCATGATTGTCATAAAAAAACCCAAATAAAAACCAAAAAAAACAAAAAACAAAAAAAAACTGATGTCGTAATTCTAAGCAGAATAAGGTCCCTGATGTTTTTTTCAGAATATGCATGTTTATGTTGGAAAGGAAGTACAGTACATATACTTATGCTGCCTAATGTACCACTTGAGCAAACTAATCATGCATGTCTAAACCATTGCAGTTACAGCAATACTGATGCATAAACAAACACCATTAGATTTATTCTTGAATTTATTAAAATAACATAGTCCTTTTCAGGAATATGTATATAAGTATGATAAAAGCAATCTGACATAGGTGTCAGACATATATCGATACCACACTAGCTTCACTGGCCTGTAGCCTCCGATAGTCACTGTGGCAAAAGAGTGAAGTTTAAACATTGAAACAGAATCAATTCTTTAAAATATTATCATATCCAATTTCAATTTGCTACCATATATGTGGTATGGCAATATTATAACATAAATGAAGATATATATGTATATATATATGCATGTATAAAACTTGAAAATTCTAACATCTGTCCAGATTTTCCACAAAATATGAGGATTATAAATAAACGTACAGAGCATGAATAAACTTGCACATCAAACAATAATGCAGAGATAGAAAGCAAATGTCTCTAAAGAACACTTGATCATTCATTCATATAACTCCAGACTTAACACATAGCACAAACATGTATTGCAGTATCAAAAATTATTCAAAGAATTCCCGAGATAACACTGATAAAAATATTACGATACCTCAACAAGACAGAAACACAATACATTATACAGTAAAACACGCTTAGAGTGAAGTGCCTGGGTCGAAAACTTTTGATTCATTATAAACGTAATTCCTTATATCCATTAAGATTACAATGCGTTTTAGAACCACGAAGATTGAAAATCTCTATGCTGTAAGCGTGAATTCATTATAAGTGTGTTTGCTATAACCGTGTTTTACTGTACAGAACATTTCAATATTATTTCAATATGTCCACATGATATTTTGGCGAAAAACAGTTTGCAACTAAACTTCAACCTTACTGTGGTCAGAATATATTGCTATGTAGTTTTCAGAGCAGTTTAATAGCACAGAGAGTGCATCAGATATAAACATAAAATTTTCAACACAGACTAGCTGTATCATGGCTAAACCTCTTACAGAAATAAGCCACTAGGAATGTTGACAATAAAAATTACATATTCATCTCTCCGATACATTCATATATTGATAAAAAAACAAAAATGATGAAAATTCAATTCAAACATTTCAGTATCTCTGTTCAGAAATGTGGCAACTGTTGTGAAGGGAACTGAACACAGTTATCTGACTTGGGATGTAACAGAGAATGAGAAACGCATAAACGGCGAAGGACATCATATGCAGACAAGGTCAAAGGTCATCACAAGTAGTGGCACCATGCTGGAAGGATAAAAGTGGTCATTAAATCACTGTCGAGTGTCGAGATTTGACCGACTCTTTGTTCCTCAAGCTTCCAGAATCTGGCCGTGGTGCGGGCATTCCTTCGTTTCCCGTAATTATCACAGTTCCGTAAAACTTCTCTTGTTCATCTTTTTGTCTTTGAAATTCCTCTTCAAGTTTCTAGAAAAATATTTTTTTCAAAGATTAACATTTAAATTAAGTTATACAATCATAAAAAATATCAGTCTTAAATTGAAGTCAGCAATATGAAATATGATGTATATATGATGCAGAAATGGTTTCCATGCAGTACAAACTGAATATAAGAAATTAATGAATGAAATGACATGTACTGAGAGATATTCTTCAATGCATGAATTATTCAAAGGAGCTGGTCCTTAATATATGAATATGTATTCCCAATAATATATATTTTTTCTTTTAAAGGTGCTTTGACACAGATTTGAACTGAATATTTTCTCAAATTTCCTGTATAATATCACGACTTATATATTGCAATAGCATTTCACACGAAAATATAATTAAAACTTATTTTATCTGGAAATTATTGGAACTACGACGCGTTTCATTAACACATCTTTGCACTTACACAAATTTTAACTTTATCCTTAATATTTAAGAAAAGAAGCGATTTTGTTATGTATTAATGAAAAATATTACGTCTATAATCCAGAAAATTCAGAGTAGAAATGTTCGAAAGCAAAACCAACTCACCAGTATTGTCAGTCCATGCTCTGTGATGTGTACAGAGTTTAACAAATTGAACACACCCGTGAAATGTAAACTGTTTTTGTAAACAGGGCACGAGCTCTGTTATTATTAATGTTTACGATTCAGAGGTTGTTCAATTGTTAAACTCTGCACACAACACTGAGCACGGACTTACAATACTGTGAGTGGGTTTTGCTTTCGAACATTTCTACTCTGAATTTTCTGGGTAATAGTTTTAATATTTTTCATTAATACACAACAAAATTACCACTTTTCTTAAGTATTAAGAATAAAATTAAAATATGTGAAAGCGCAAGGATGTGTCAATCCAACGCGTCCAGAAATTCGAAGTTTTAATAACTTCAAGATGGAATAAGATTTTTATTATATTTTAGTATGAAATGCTAAAGCAACATATAAGTCATGAAATTATACAGAAAATTTGAGAAAATATTAACTTCAAATCTGTGTCCAAGCACCTTTAATCATTGTTAATAAAGTACAGTTGAAATTCATTAAATACATGCCACCAAAAAACAACTTTCTTTCAACATAAAATGATTTCTCTTGGTTATGACGATAAGGAATCTCAGAAATCAATTCTGTGTCTCTGATGTAAAATTACCCCCCCCCCCCCCCACCCACTCCCAACAACAAAAATCTAAAAATTGCATATTTCACAGAACTAAAAACAGCTTTGATTTTTGAGAAGCCTTTAAAATATGCTCCACTTTCCATAATATGAAATCAAATGCAGTTTCCCAAAGATAAAAAGTCCAGACTTTTGTCAGAAGAGACAAACCTCTACTTTGCCTTAGCGTAGCTCTGAAAGGAATCAATTGGATCTAAGAGATTCTAACAGGAAAAAAAAAACAGCTCGTATTTTGAATAAAAAGGTTCATATGAAATGAAGTGACATGAAAGTAACTTGAATCAAGGTCGCATAATTGTCCATTAGGTACATGAACAGACACATTTGTACTGCAGAAAATAATAGCTTTATATAATATACATCTCCATGCGACTATTATAACTGAGTAGGTCTTCTATATATGTACATGGACCTGTGGGCTTACTCAAAATGCAGCACTGAGAACATTGGCTTTATCAGAAATGGAGAAGACTTTACGAACTGTTCCTCTCCGACGACGAGAAGTTGCTCGTCTATATATCCCATTCTCGGATTTCACCTCTAACACAGCTAAATGCTCCTGCCAATGGGAATTTTAAGCTGAACATTGAATTTTAGTGTTAGTTTCTAAGAAAACAAAGGAATTTTACTTCTGATATTATGTAAAACAAATAAAATGGGGGGGGGGGGAATATTTAAATCTTGATGCATATAAAAATATTTGAAAATAGATAGTTTATGTTCTATATCTGTATTTTGTTTTCTCAATTAACATGAATATTTTTCACAAGTATTCAAAAAAAAAAAAAAAACATGCATTCCCTTCTTTACTTATAGTACAAACAATATTGTGCAATCTAAGACATAACAGGAAATGTCTCGTTGATGAAAAATCCCCCCCCCCATAATTTTTTTAATCATTCATGTAGATTGTAAATGTACCTCCTCTCCCCCTTTCAAAATTATAACAAGCTAAAACCACATCCCTCTAGCATGCAATGACTGAAAAGGATCTTTTCTGACTGTCCTCTGATTCTTATAGTATAAAAATGTGCCAATCAATATTATGCAGTCACTGACAACGACCAATCAACAACAACATATCATGTCTATTCCTCCAATCACAATTCATCTACTACTGGAATATATAAATGTACAATGCAAGGTGCCTGAATCCCAATCTCAAGAAAGGCTTCTAACTTTTACTAGTGATATTCATGACTTTTAAATATGAAACACCTACAGCCTGTATAAAAAAAAAAACTGGAAGGGAAAAAAACTAGGCTGTCATTTATAATATAAAAATTTTGAGTGGCTGTTATTAACATTAACATGACTGTGAACAAACTTGTAAAATCTTGAATGATAAACAACATATGAAGCCAAACAAATGACAATATGATGACATGAAAACAAAGGTCATTCCCTTAATACTCACACTGCTGGTGATCGGTGACAATTTGGCTAAAACATGGCATATTATGCAAACTGATGTAAAGGGACTTAATGCAGTATAGCAATGATAACCAAAGACAGTGATTTTGACTAAATGGAAAATCCATGATAAATGGTGTCATTAAAATCATGATGGTGAAAGGTACATACTAAAAATCCAGGTGTTGTGAGCACCTCTGTTTGAATTCTTAGTCTTGTTAAGTCCCTACTTAGAATCTATTTTGAAAATGAAATAAGTGTTGCAAATCTACATGATGAATAATGATCATAATGATCTTTCATCCCAGAGAGTTACATATTTATTTTTGATCTTCACAGGGAATTGTGTGTGCCAAGCTGATGATTGAACTTTCAGTGACCTGTGACCTTACCTGTTTCCTTGGCACCAATTGTTGCTTCCATTCCCGTAGTTCGTTGGCATACTGATCATCCAGTTCCTTTATTTTCTGTGTTTCCTGCTCCATTAGCATCTTCCTCTTCTCTGCCTGTATTTACAAAACATCAAATTGTTATTTGAATTATGAGCATAGTGCAACTGCATTCATCCTAAATGACAAGACCTTCTTCTTTCAAATTTTTTGAGTTTTTGGTATTAGACCCACTATGAACACAATTGTCCTACATGTTCAATATACACTTAATTAACATCTATATGTATTCTTTTGATAGTGCATGTTGTGTTAAACAATTGAGATATCATACACATTATCCAATCAGGCCTAGGTTTGTAATACCATGCCTACATGTATGTGGATACCCTTATACAGTAAAACAATAAATTTTAAAGCCACAGGGAATGAAAGTCACTTCGCTGTAAGCCTCAATTCATTACAAGCAGGTTTGCTATAGGCGTGTTTTACTGTATACAGCTCCATCCAAAAGTCAGGAACACTCATTTTTTCCATTTTATAATCAGAAGAAAATGATTTCGTTTCAATAAGAAAAATAATGTTAGAATTTTAATATATTCATATCAAAGAAAATGATTACATTCCATATTGTTTTGTTTCAGCTTTTCTTGTGCATAAATTTTATACAGCTTTCAGAAAATGCTCAAGTTCTCGTCCACTGGTTTCATTGACAATTTTCTCCCTTACCTGTAACTGCTTAAGTTCTCATCCACTGGTCTCACTGATGATTTTCTCCCTTACCTGAAACTGTTTTAGCTCTCGATGACTGGTCTCATTGACAATTTTCTCCCTTACCTGTAACTGCTCAAGCTCTCGGAGACTCGTCTCGTTGCGGTAGACAAGCTCCTCCCACTGTTTTTTGTGCTTCTGCTCTTGTCGCTGCTGTTCAGCCTTCATCCTCTTCTTCTCATTTTCCTCGAACTGAAAACATCAATATTTTGGTTTTTCTATTAAATTCACTGGAAGATTAAAAAAAAAATTGATATTATTAAAAATTTCAGAAAATTTTTTGATTGCCTTCATGTTAAAACTCTTTTTCCCCCTATCATAAATATATAAGTACAGAGATGAAATATAATGTTTATGTAATAAATTTCAAATTCCAGAAAAATATATATTGAATGCAAAATTTGTAACATGGTACCCAACAGTGAGAATGTATATGCATAAGTGAACAAAGTTCTTGCTTATTTCATGCATAACAACATTACTTCATTTAAATGTATTATGAAAAAGATAACTGATATTACATAATTAACACTGAAAAATAATAATAAAACTGTTATCCAATCAAAACAAAAATGAAAAGAAACATTTTACGATGTCTGGACAGTTAGCCAATATCCTCTGAGTAAAAAAAAAATATGTATCCTTTGACCTACTTATGGTATCTAAACACCAGCAGAATTATCCTCAACAGTCCTATAGGTTGTCTATTTATCTTAACTCTTTGGGAAAATGTGTCAATGATTTTGTTAAGCAATAAGAAAGTGCATGCAGCATAAGAATTTTTTCTCTGGATATTGTACGCAGGAAAAAAGAGGAAGTTAGTTGCTAGTCAATGTATTATGGCAGGAAGAATTTGGGGGTATGGATTGGTATATTAAGATGAGGTATTGTCACTTTTCACACTTGTGCTTAAGACCTGATGATGTTACCTGTCGCTTAAGGTCAAATGGCTTCTGCAAACAACAATTACGGACACATGCAATGAAAAGTGAGACACATGCTCAAAACATAAAACAAACAAAATAGCTCAATTTTAAAAGAGCTTAAAGCAAAATGCAACATTTTTTATCACAGAAAGCAGGGTGAGGTAAAATTTATCCTTTAAGTTCATTTAGAATAAAATATAAATAGTAGTCATATTCTTGGTTAAAATGTATTTGTTTACTGCTTCAGCCAATTCATAGCATGTCAGTATGTTATCTCTAATGCTCTGGCAAATACACAAGTAATATATTCCAATAAGATTTCCTAAAGCATGATGAATACACATATATATGATATTATTAGCTGTCAATAGTTAAAAATTTTACAATTCAAACCTATACCACTAGCATAAACAGGAAAGTTTTAAAAAAAATCCTTCTTTCTCTGTTTCATGTGTAATAGATTTAAAAACTAAGCCCCCCCCCCCAAAAAAAAAAAAACAAACAAACAAACAAACAAAATTAAAAAAAACCCCAAAAAATAATTGCACATCATTACAATCTTTGCAATTTAAAAAAGCTTGCCTAGAAACAAGTGTAAATAATAAGCACCACACATTTCACTGACCAAACATAATGACATAGCTAGGGCACAGAATCCAACACAATGATTCCTCATTGTCTAGCAGATTCTTACCTGTTTTATTTTGGCTCGATCATCCTCGGGTGAGCCCACTGTGCTCAGCCTGAGACTCTGTTTAAACATTTGAGCCCGAGTTTTTGCCTCACTCCTCTGTATTTTGGGAAGCCTTCTCTTTTCTAAGGCATGTCTCTTCTGCATTTCATCTTCTTTAACAGAGTTGCTCCTCTTCATTTGTTCAACTTCCTGCATGAAGAAACATTAATACACTCATATTAAACATTATATCAAATGAATGCAGTTTACTTCTTTTATCTTTTTCATGATCTTATTTGAAACATCATTTGATGATCTATAAATCATTTTCACCATAATTGTTCTGCATTAATTATAATCATAATATATAAATAAATGATGATCATCATGATAGCACAAAAAAGGTTTGTTTTTTCCACAATCCTAATTTTTTATGACATATATTTTACTTTCAGTTAGTACACATGTGAAATTACTAGAATTTATGACATACATGTAGCCCAAATATTCACAATGAATGATACATGTATAATCATTTTTTATCAACCATAGACATGATAGAGTCGTAGTCACTGTACAACATAAATTATACTATGTGACACAGTTTCATTGTTTAACATATATCTGACCTTTTGGTGGCGGGTCAACATCTGATGACGTTTGAGGAAGAAGAGGTCTTTAAGCTGGCTCTTAGACAGCTGGTGTTTCTCATGTAACTGTTGTTTCTCTAACTCCCATATCGCAGCTTCTCTCCCTACCAGATACACACAGAGTATTTCATAATGAACACAAGTTATTCAATTTAAGGTATCTCATTAAGAACACTAAATATGAATGGTCAAGTTTTTACTTCATGATTTGTATTTCTGGCTACAGTTTCCAATAATATTTAAGTCTGCTATTGAAGCCTAATTTCCCCTACATCTAGAATTACAATACTAATCCTCTTAGTCTTGTTATAATCTTTATACTCTTGCTAAGTTTCAGATATGAAATTACAGAAACAAGTAATATTTGCAACCTTGATTATATGAGAAAAATACAAAAGACGTCCTTCAGAATTCATACTCAGACCACCATTTTCAATCTAACAAATAATTTTAAAAAACACATTCTTTTTGCTGTCATTTTCCTTTAATTGATCATGTACCATTTAACAGGACATTACAATTTTCTTTATAGAATTATATACACAGCCTTATCTTTTTTTTTTTAATACTTTATCCTGTTCTTAGCCTTACCCCTTAGAAGCTGCTGTTTCTGCTGAAGGAACTGACTTTCCAGGAGAGCTACCTTCTGTCTGTGTACCTCCGCTAACTGCTTCATATGTTTCTCCTGTCTCTCTGCTTGGTTCTCCAAAAAGAGACGCTCCTAAAAACAAAATTTTATCCCATTAAAACTTTTTGAAAAACATAAAAACTAACAAGTTTTTAAAATTTAATGTGCAAACATTGTTTATATACTTGCTTAGCTGCAGAATCTGGCAGCTGCCATAGGAAGTATGTATTCACACAAAAAATCAATTTAAACAAGCTTCAGTTTTCTGATTTCTTTTTATATTTATTTTTTATTGTTGAACGTATCAAAAGATTTAATTTTATAATAAAAAATTTCCCCTTTTTATCAATCACCTTTTAAAATATGACATCTAAAGATTAAAAACATTCATGCTGAGTTAAGAGAGGATTCTAGTGTAGTATATATCATGAATAAACTGCACAAATATTGATGTTCTGTTATGAAAGTTTCAGAGAGTGTGAACTCTGAGAAGGCTTGATGATTTCATATCTAATCTGCCAACTGGCAAGGACAGAACAACAAATAACAGTATATTTTTGTTTGGCCGGTAACTAATTTACACACTTGGCAGAGAAGTGGTGTTAGAACCTTTGTGTGACATCACTCCCTTAAAACTGATCAATACTAGGCCTCTTATACAATACAGAAAAAAACAGGAGTTGATATACCAATTCATTCTACACAGTCCTTAGCTCCTCTTCAATAACAGGTCTCATCAATTAAGAAAATCTTTTTAAAAAATTGTTCCAGCTTAGAGGAAAATAGGTCTATTTCATTTTTTTGTTCATTGATTTTAAAAAGGAAACACTGAAAAACTGACCAGAAAATTGAAAACTTTGTACAGAGGCACTATATATAGTTGACTGATTTACAATTGTAAGAATTCGGTGAATGATTAACCAATAAGATCAACTCTGCCAAATTGGACTTCACTGCCAACAACCAAGGATAGTAAGTACTCTACCATAACTCAGACCTTGTGATGCTTTAAGCCTGGACATATTTAGTCCTCCTTACGTCAACATCCAAGTATAGTCTCCAATAATTACATTCCAAAGTAAATATGAACATTTCCCCTATCATTAAGGGACATATAACTCTGTATATATTATTTTCCATGACACTAACTAGCCGCTGTTCCCATCATAAACAAGACCAATCCCGCTTCTCCAAATTCATCAATTATAGAAATTTAAAATATAAATATTTGTTGGGATGGGGATATAAAAATTTTTCCCTGAGATAGTAGTTTAACAATTTATCTACATTTATATAACATGTGGGAACTAAATTTATATAACATGTGGGAACTAAATGTTAATTACCTTCTCTTGGAGCTCTATTTCTTTTTGGTCCTTACGTTTCTTCATTGCATCCTTTCTATTGTCTTTTGGCATGAGATCTAGTTCTTGTCTCAAAAGTTTCAGTTCTTGTTTCTGCTGCTCTTTGAACAATTTGTATTCTTTCTCCTACAGAAGAAAAAGAATCAAGAAAAATGTATATAGATTATATTAAAACATTCATAAACATTGTATATATAAACTGCTTCACATACGAATACCACTGCAAGAAAGATGGATGATATTTTAGCTCACATGAGCTGCAGGCTCACGTGAGATTTCTGATCAAAATTTGTCTGTCTTTGTTGTTGGCATTGTCGTAATTTTTTTTTATAATTTCATCTTCTTCTTCAGAACCACTGAGCCAATTTCAACCGAACTTGGCACAGAGTATCCTTAAGTAGGGGAAACAAATTTGTTCAATTGAAGGGCCATACTCTCTTACAAGGGAAGATAGTTAAGAAATAGTAGAAATTGGATGGTGTCGTTTAAAAATCTGCCTCTCAAGAACCACTGGGCCAGAAAGGATAAAACTTAATATGTGAAAGCTTCCTGATATTGCAGAGATTCAAATATATTCAAATCATGACCTCTCTGGGTTAAATGGGGCTACAGGGGGTGATCAAAGTTTTACATAGGAGTATATATGAAAAAAGAATCTGCAGCTGAAGAACAAGAAGGGCCATAGTTACTCAGGTGAGCATTGTGGCCAACAGGCTTTTTATTTTAAAGGTGCTTAGACATAGATTTGAAGTTAATATTTTCTCAAATTTTCTGTATAATATCACGGCTTGTATCTGTGATGTGGACAGAGTTTAACAAATTGAACACACCCGTGAAACATAAACTGTTTTTGTAAACAGGGCACAAGCTCTGCTATTGTTAATGTTTACGATTCACCGGGTATGTTCAATTTTTAAACTCTGCACACACCACTGAGCATGGACTTACAATACTGTGAGTGGGTTTGCTTTCGAACATTTCTACTCTGAATTTTCTGGGTTATAGTTTTAATATTTTTCATTAATACACAACAAAATTGCCACTTTCTTAAGTATTAAGAATAAAATTAAAATATGTGAAAGCGCAAGGATGTGTCAATCCAACGCGTCCAGAAATTCTAAGTTTTAATAACTTCGAGATGAAATAAGATTTTTATTATATTTTAGTTTGAAATTCAGTAGCAACATATAAGTCATGAAATTATACAGAAAATTTGAGAAAATATTAACTTCAAATCTGTGTCCAAGCACCTTTAAGGCCATACACAACACAGTTTGAATATTTTTGTCTTTTCCCCTGGATCTGAAGAGTTCCAATACTTGAAGGACCTGTGTGCTACTCTTTTAATGTCTATATATGGTGCTTTACACCTCTTCTATAACAAATTTGGATGAAAAAAACATCTAGAATATATGTTTAGTAATTTTTGTAATTTTTTCTTTAAATAATACAAGAATTTTCATCAATTGATATCTATTCAAAACCCCTGGTAATGCATGCTGATTTTTTGTCCATGAACATTTAATGGTACTATAACTTTAAATTAAGAATATCTTGAAATATTATCAGTAGGTAAGGTACATTGCATATGTCCTTAGTTATGCATCTTCTTTGTGAAAAAAATGTATGTGATTTAAAAAAAAAAATCATTTTATGATTTATCAACTGCAGGCTAGAGAGAGATTGAGGATGGGAGAGCCTCTCCCAACAAAAAAAAACCGAGAGGTCTACATTATCATTGCAGCTAGGAGAGAGAGAGATCTTTTAAACTGAACATCTATCAAAGAAAATGAGATACTGATTTCAAAAAGTGAATGCCAACAGCAACTGCACACTTTCTCATCTTTATGTGACAAAAAATCCCATCATGCAGTATATGTCTATCTGAAGCATCAAATGAGTACAGCCAGTCTTACATGAACAGGTTATTCAGAATATCAGAAATCCATCACTTGTAAATAGCCAGCATTTTCTTCAGTTCAAAACCATATACCCAAATACCAGTACATGTATTCCTAATTGAACATAACTGAATTTGATACCTTATGCCCTGCATGATGTTTAATGTGAAATGAAAATGAATCATTGTCAGTAGCTATAAAATTCTTCCAGATATATAAGTTATACAAACCTGGTCCATTTTAAGGCGTTTGGCTGCATTCTTCATGTCCGCTGCTTGGCTCTGTTCTGCTTTTTCTACCTGTTGTTTTTGAGTTTTATTAAGAGTTTCCATATCCTGATCATAATTCTTCACCAAAGTCTGCAAAGGAAACAACCCTTCCCAGTCAATGCACAAAACCTCATGCAAAGCTATATCATGAATTCCAATGACAATGAAAATGAACAATATTTTCTCGACACCTAAACTTTTTGCAAAATGCATCATCAACTGAACAGCTTTTAAAAATAACTGGAATGAAGATATTAAAGTGATTCGCAATACCAGGAATGTATTTAATGCATTATTTTACCTGGAAACCCAATTTTTTGCACAATTCCTCAACAATCAAGAATTTTTCAGATTAACCCAAATGATGCAAATGTGAAGATACTGATTTCAAGATGCTTGACAATTAATACCAGCAATATATCTAATGCATGTAAAATATTTTACATTATTTACCATACCTGCATATCAAGTTCGAATTTGCGTTCCTGATCCTCGCGAGCACATTGGGACTTGTACATGAGATCCTGGTACTGCTTGTTCTCTTGTTTCTGAAGCACCTTAAGTTCACGTAAATCATTCTTCCTATTCAGTAAAACAAAATTAATCAGCATTAGTCGATACTGAAAATGCAGTTCTTCCATGTCATCCCTTTGCATGCAGGTGCCCTTTAGAAGCAGGTGACAATTTCTCAAGAGATTTTTGTCGTTTACTTACATAACCATAAAGTTACTTGATCTTTGGATGTTTATAACCTTCAATATAATCACTCATTACAACAACTTCTTTAAGACTCTCAAAATGATAAAAGCAATGCAGAAGCAAACCCTCTCTTAAAGATATCTTCAAAAGGTCCAACAGAACAATGGTCTTCAAAATCTATACAGGTTTCAATAAGACAATCATTACACATAATTGTCTTTTATATAATCTTACCTTCTATAACACCTCTTTTTCTGAGGGGTGATACTTCCATGAATCTTGCATAAACACAATTTGCAAAATAGTTCATTTTTGGGTTTAAGAACAAACAACAAATCTTCATACATATTTCTCAAAAATATCATTCAAGACATTTACAAAAGAACAGCTGATGGGGACTAAATCTTCTATATCTGGTCTTATTTCTATATATAACTGATCAGACAGCATGTCAACAAGTTAATTTATTCATCAATAAATGTCAACACCAGCAAAAATATCTATAAAACCCATTACAGCAGTCCTTGGGTGCCTTACATTTTATCAGATTATAGATCTGGGATTAATTATCAGGGGATTAACCACAGACAGGGCAGATAATAGGGGTCACTTATCAGATACTAATCTAGCCCTGCAACTATAAGACACATACAGGAGAAAACCACAGGATGCACTCCAACAATTAATGGCTGGATAATTAATGCATACACCTCTACAAATCAACAAAGATCATCAACGACAAATCTGTCCTTCCAGGCAAATATCTCCACACTTCACCAGGAACATATGACACAACCATAAAACCCTACAGCATGGGCAACTGGAAAATACCACTGCATGTAGATAAGTGTATGAAAGAAAAAATATTTAAATCCATAATTTTGTTGTCTCCATCACAACTGCAATTTTAGAAATTTTAATTTTTTTTTTTTTTTTTTGTGAGAAAATGGAAAATTTAATACTGATAATGCTTAACGCTAAAAAACAGTTCACATGCAAATCTGGAAATGAGCTCAGAATACACATTTCTTTCATTATCACTGAATAAAAGCTTAAAAAATCCCATTTAACAAAGCTGATGATCGTAACCCCCCCCCCCCTTTAAAAAATAAAATAATAGAAACCCTGCTTTAGCTAAATCTACTTTTTTCCCTCCTTTGAGCAGTACATGTAGACTTAAAATCAATTATGAATAAAATAATTTGAGTAATAGTTGTAATTCTTTTTTAAGTAAAGCATTTATTTTCTTTCTGCTAGAGGGACATCATAAAAAATGTGTTATAATAGCAGAAAGGTCTTTGGCATCTAGCCTAAGCTTTGGCTGCCTTTACTCAGAATTTCAATTATAGAGCTGGTTGATGAAGTAATTGACACCTTACGCTTTTGCCAAAAACTAATTAGGTGTACTTTATCAACTCCCTCCAACAAGTAATTATAGCCAGCTCTATTTTTGAAAAATATTTTCAGACTTTTTTTTTGAAAGAATTTGGGTGCTAAATTATTTATAATATGGCACACAAAAAAATTATTTTTTTTTTAAAAAATTCTGCGTAGATGCTGACTCATTTCAAGAAAATGAAAACAATATTCAATTTCTGTCAAACTCAGTTCTCTTCAAAGAAAGAGTTTATTAAACTTGGTACTAAAATCATCATCAGTCTTAAATTCTTGCTTAATGAAAAGTGTCTGGCATATTTTTGATATAAGATACCTCATCAATCAACTCAATCATAGTGTATTTATTTAGTTACTCATGTATTTCAGTCCTCTTTGTCTTTAGTTAATTAATTGTATATTACATATCATCAATTCACAAAACTGGATTGCTAACTTAGATGAGGCAATTAAAGCACAAATAAAGAAAATTCAAATGCAAGACATTGCCAAATATAAATTATTATACTGCAATGTGAAATATATGTAAACCTCATGAAACAAAATTTTACACTTGCTAGATTGTTTTTCGAACTACAGCTTAACTTCGGTATCTCAAACACCGATGTCTCGAATACCATGGATACCGGTATGTTGAAGTGAATTGGAAGTCCCAACAACTTATTCTTTAAGTATTTTACCCTCGATATCTCGAAACCTCGGATATCTCGAAGTTTTTTTCTTGGTCCCATCAGGTTCGAGATAACAAGGTTTTACTGTATTATCCAATTCAAATTCTTAATCTTAATTATCTCATAATTTTAACAAATATATACGGTTTTCAATATAAACTACAGCTACTTTGAAGACAGAAATTGACCAATATCCTCATTCATTTATTCCTTCTTTCTCATACTTCCTTTCCAGTTTCTAGCCTGCTGTTTTACTGACAGTATTTTGTACAAAATCAATTCAATTTGCAGCTCAACTGCATTTCTAATTGCCATATTGACAAGAAAAACACCACAAATTTTCTTTCAGGGAAATGAAAAGGTGTTAATGATATGTCCATGCTGTGAAAGAGTAAGGGCTAGCTCTTCTAATAAGGAAGTTTTTGATGAATGAAAAACTACAGTGAGCTGGTTCCATGGCAGTTATTGATTTTTTCCATCCTTCAATACTATTGGCTAATTTTTGGTACATAGATATTACATAGATATTAACTCCTTCCAACCAGCTTACAAAGGAGTGCCAAACTAACTTTTACTAGCACAACAAATTTTTTCCACATGCCACAAGCATTGTTTTGATATATTTTTTCTCCTAAGTACCATAAAGTTCAATTTTGATAATGCAATAAACAAACTCCTACACTTCCCTTGTGGATACCAACATACAAATTTCAGCCGTAAATTTCCTTCAGGGTCGTGAATCATTATGTCACAAATATTCAGAGATTCTACATTTCTGCAATTCACTCCAGGATATGTGCTGCAGTTTTCAGTGATGTCAGCCATCATTGGTAAATATAACAAAAGACATCAAAACATGTTTGTTTCCTATGGACAACTGATTAATTTACAAAGATTGTTCTGTTGAAAAAACCTAAAAGGGAAATGGATTCATGATACACAGCTGAGCATATATAAAAGCAAAGCTTCTATACTTCCCACCAAACTAATGCTTTCATATTATTGAAGCTGAAAACTCTCATTTACTGATTTAACTTAAGAAAGGACCTTTTAATTTCCACAGAACAAAATCAACTTAATAACCCAAATCAACAGACCAGAATCCATCTGCACTACCTAATCAAATGACTAATTCCTCAAACATAAGTTATTGGTTTAGTTGATTTCCATTCACAATTTTAATGCTGTGTTTTTCAAGATCATAATTTAATCTGTGTCTTTTCTTCATTACTGATTTTTTTTTGTATTTCTCAGAATGACTTGTATGTCATACAAGTCATTTCCTGAATAGTACTCCCAAGCTTTTCGGTTAAAGGGGACAGTTTCTTTGGTCTGAGGAAGTAATCTAGGAAAGAATTCAGGGTAAAGTAGGCTTTACGCTCCAACACTGAGAGAGAATGTACCTATCCTCATACACTGTACATGTCATGTTACTGCTCAGCAAAAAATTGTCATAAAATTTATCACAGTTTAGCTTTTCTATTGCAGGTATACATAAAAAAATTAGTACAGTGAGATACTCCTAAGGCACTGGGATACTTATAGGGTAGAAATAAAGATAGTAATGTATTACAATATATTAACCTGGTAACTGAATCTTTACCCCGACAAAATAATGCGTTTGTTCAAAAACAGTAGTTTTTTTCCCTTGATTATGAGGGAGGCAAGCAATAATCCTGAGTATGCATGGTCTCAAGTGTTCAACCTACCTGGTCATGTACATGTGGCAATAAGCATCCAGTATAAAAGTCACTTTGGGTGACACATTTTTCTTTTCAGGTGATTCAGGATTCTCTTGAGAAGACTTGAATTTCTGCACTGCTAATGCATTTTCCAGATATGAAATGACTTTGGTAACCTCATCCTCTGACACTGCAAAAGTATAAAACTGGTCATGGTCTGGGTTGTCCTTCCAAAGCTCAGCACCCACCACAATGGGCATCTGACGGAGGGTGCTGTCCTTCACAATAGAGGATGTGGTGCCAGAACTCAGCCCACTACAGCCCGAGTCGGATGAAGTAGAGACAGAATTTCTTCGCAAAGCATGAAGACTTCGGTGATGAAACACCAAGTTCCCATCTGAATTTTCACATGTACTGACACTAGCGTTAGAACAAGCTGATGAAGCACTTTCACCTAATTTTGGCCCCTCATATAATGCCTCTAGATTCACTCTTGGAGTTTTCCCTCTTGAAACTTCTGCCACTGTATTGTAGTGCATGAAAGGAGGTTTCTTTTTCTCTTGCCTTCTGGCCATTTTCTGCCATGGTAAGCTGTTTCCTGCCTGGAGACTCTCACAATCAGATGGACAGCTGTGCAAGTCCACATTGTAGTGGGGTCGGTTCAAAAACCTTTGCCATGTTAGTCCACTACCAGAGTGGAGACTGGACACACATGATGGACTCTGTGAAATTGTGTCCTCTTCTTGATACCTACGCTGAATCAGCTGCTGCCACGATAATCCATGGAAATCCAGAGACGGCAAGGTAGCCGATTCCTCCTGACAATTGTCATAGAGTTCCAAGGAAGATCCAGAAAATCCAGATTCCATGACGCCAGAATTACAAAATCACAGGTCACTAGAATTATTATCCTGCAAGTGCTGGATGATTCACATTCTGATTATAAATGATCGAACATTCTCTTGCTGCACCAAAGCCCAATATCATCATGATATTTTACACAATGAGGTAATTTTGGTGAGAGCAACAGCCAAAGATGCATTATGTCTGTGGCTATCACACTTGGCCAAAATGAAACAATGCATATGTTGTAGGGTTCCCAGCATGTGTTACTTTCCAAGAAGTCTTATGTTTTGTTACTGCTCCTAATACATATCTTCATTACATGGTGATAAATGTACTGATGCACTGGGTTCAAAAACTACAACTTGCCTACTGGCATTTGTCTTCAGATCTCCTTAGACAAAAGTCAATACTAATTAAGATTCACACAACTGTGCGGTCTCAACAAATTAACTTTCCAAATATATGAACTTGTTTTTAAGAATTACACAAGATTTTGTGAAACTCTCCAATCCGCAGAAAGCGTTAAAAATCGACTGTAGTGCAGACATCATCACTAAACGCTTCCAATCCCATTTCTACTAAAAAAAATCAATGAACAGTAAGTACTGACTGGGGTTTGAGTGACAGGTATAACAGCTGAAGTCCAGCTATAGGAATCAGCAGCCAATCAAAGAGCAAGGGTAGCCCGTCGTCAACACTCCCTATAGACAGAGGTCTCCCTCCTTTTGTGTACTGGCGCACTTGTCATATTTCTACATGCATATCAATGATCCCTGTATGAATTATTCAGCTAATACATCACTTGGTCAGCTAATACTCCTAAGTCACTCAGTGTTTTCAAATGTCCAATGAAGTGTGACAGATATATATAGCTTCGATTCTCATACCTTATATTAGTAATTTTCCAGAAAAAAAAAGCCGCACCACAAATCTGCTACCTTACAGGTAAGTTATTGATGAATACATATGCTCAATCTTGTTGATACATCACTTGAGACGATCTGCCACACTTGTTGTGAAACAAAGTTGAAATGACATAAACATTAGCTACAGATAGCTCCTAAATCCAAGTCATCAATAAACAATTTGCCTTCATAACAACCAAACAGGCTTCCCCCCTGCTCTTACAATGCTTTCCTGTGCTACACAACTCTCCACAATGAACCACATTACATGCCATAATGAGTGCACTTTTAACATAGATAAACCCCCTCAAAACACTGGAACAGTACCCAGATAAAACAATTCAATCATACCATTTGCATTAACTTTTCTACATTCATGGGGATTAGGCTCATTAAATCATTTATCCTATCTCTCTGCCACATCAAATATCTTAAACCACTTTAATTATCATTTTATTAAGCTTCCTACTAACAAGCTAAGCATTCAACCTAAAAACTGAAAACTGAATTTTTTCCCCACTTGACACAAAATTCAACCTAAAGACCTTCATAACACAAAATGGTTTTTCTTCTTTTTATAAGGTTTCTGACTTTTATCATTGAATACATCTTCCTCCTACGCCTCTAGATTATTTCTAATATGAACACTTAGGGGATTGATTCAGAAATACAATCAGCTGTATGTAAGTTGAGCATCATATAAAGACAAACAAGTGCCGAGAGAGAAAATAATCACACAACAATGACAGAAGAATGTTTCTGATGAGCTTCTGAGGACATTGACCACAACGCAGGGTCATCCCTCACATCTCCAAGGAAAAAAAAGGGATTTAATTATTTCTTCATGTTCCAATTTTGTATCAAAGTAAAAATTCTATTAAGCATGTCAAGAATACAAGAATTTTTTTCCTCACTCAAACTGCAAAACAGACAATTTTTTTGCCCTTTGAATCTGCCTATTGATTTAATGTATTGTGAGTCACTAGCTAATCGAAGCTATCATAGCTACTGCCTCAGTGGGTATATTTTAATTGGCTAAAAACATTTTTTTCTGTTTTCAATGTCTGATAGAAAGCTTTCTCTTAAACATAGATGTCAAAAACATTTGCATTTTTTTTACATTAGTTAATGTTTTGCATGACCAAAACATGCACTGTCTATACCTTTTTCTGCTCATAACTGACACCAAACAATAAATTCATTTTCATTCATCCATAACTTGAAAATATTTCACAATAAATGCTTCTAAGGGCATTTTTATTTTTCATAAAACACTAAATACTCAAGACAGCTGTAAACATCTGATTCATTCATTCTGTAGATAACTGATGGCACCATACTGTTTTCCTCAATGTATGTCTTTTTCCAATCTCTTCAGACTATTACCAGGTAACTGCTGATAACTGTCTCTATAGCACCAGCTTCCCAAGATCAGCTGATCTAACAGCCTTGATCTACCTGGCAGTTAAGACATAGGTATGCCAGAGATGCACTGTTGGTCCAGGTGCTGCTTACATTAAACATGAACAATGGCATCTACAGATGGGGGGGGCTGATATAACTGTACAAATGACAGATGTGTGTAGAGATCAGAAACACATACCAAAGGAGTCAAAGGCTTGATTCCCCATTACACTATTTAGAATGTTCAGCTCTGAATCAGTTGTGCTATCTTTCCAATCACATGACATCCATGTAATAAAACAATTATTATTAAATATACAATGTACAGACTATTGTGATTTGGAATTTTTTTTTTAATTCACCTTTTATGTCATCAGAATATTGTACTTTTCCCATAAAAGAAGACTTTTAAAAAAAAATACACATGTTTATCTTAATGAATCTGCATCATCGATTTTTATCTTGCTTTATAATTTAGAGTGAGTGGCCCTGATAATTAAAACCAGGGTCATCATGTGTCAGTCTGTCTGCTAGCTGAGAACAATATTAGAGGACCATCTCTGATTTATTTTTTCCATTTGCCAGGAAACAATTATCTTCATAACATGAGGTGTTAACAACAAAAGTAGTCTACACAATAAACATTTCCCCTTTGTACGACAAAACACAAAAGACCAAAGGCAATGTGACCTATTGTGAGCTTTGAGTATGATATATTTAACATTAATAGTCATTGAAATTGCAGTGCTTGCAAATCTGTGGATTTCTGCAGAAAGTTCTGCAGCTTCATGCAGACAGATCAATAACAATATTTCTCTGAAAATACAAGACAGCATGCAAAACGAGTATTTACATAACGATTAAGGAAATGTTTCCAAGTGTTCTTCAAATCAAAGCTAAAAAGTTGGCAAATATGCTCCTCTCCAAAGTTGATGATACAAAAATTCTGCTTATATTAATTTATAAAACTTTAATGTATAATATGATTACTTTCAGTGATTAAGTTCTCAGAATGTCTGCAAGAGAACAATTATTTTCAGGACAATGCCCTTAGCTAGTTCAGCTTATCAAAGCCTCTCTTTCTGCTAACAAACGTAAAACCACAGATTTTAGAAAGCTTCATCGTAACTTCAAAGTCTGACATTGGAACAACAGTTATTTCCAAGAATAGACTGGGAAAAAAAAAATTTTGTATGTCCTCTATGAATATTAAACAGCAGCAGGATTTTTGAGAAACAATACAATTCTTCATCTGTCATTCTCAACTTTGTACCATTCATATAAATCTTACTGGCATTAAAGAGTCTGCTTGTAGAATATAGAGGACGTAATTACTAAGAATGACTCATAGCAATCTTTTTTTTTAATTCAGGAACATCCATCCGTCTTGTCCTTCACTCTGACTTCTGAGGTCTGGTTTTTCACTCCATTCTTGGCAATCACATTGATTGCAGTGAAGACTGTATAAACTAGTCTGTCAAAGTGACCATAAATAAGTCATCCACTCACACCATGACCCTAAATATCAATACAAGCCACAAAACACATCTAGAAGACTGATTTCTTTGCTGCCCTTGAGTTTCAGGGTTACCAATCCATTACACAAGCAACATTTTTTTGTCCTTGAGTTCTAAGGTTACAAAATACAATATGCAAGTGAAACAATCTAATCAAAAATCTTTGAATAAACTCAATAATGATTCATTATACTGTAAAATAAGACTTAAAATAGTGATTTTTGATGCATGTATCATAAAAAACATGAGAATATACAATACTGCTTAGTAACATTCAAATATGACTTCACCAACTATGTCTTTCTGTGTGCCTTTTTTTCCTGTTCCACATCAACCACAAAGATAAGTACCCATTACAAGTCCCCTCTGTTCTCTCTTATTGCAAAACCAACAACACGTACTGTTTCAATACAATTCTTATGAAATATTTCATCTTTCATAAGTTTACATAAACTTCAAGATAACCTTAAGTTCTTAACCATGTTCCTGCAGAGCAAAATTCATAGTTTGTACCATTTACTGGTTCTCCATTCTCCCATCTGGGCTGCGTTCAAGATCGAAGTGGCTAACACAGCAGCTTACTGCTAGGTGGTAAATATCTATCTCTATTGAACGGACAGCTAGCCTAGCTGCTAAGTGTTAAATTTTGGGTGACAATATATCAGTAAAAACAAAAAAAAAAATCATTTTGGAACAAAAAGAGTTTATTTCAAGCGAAAATATATATGTAAATTTATATTTAATTTGCTAAGATGTAGAAAACAACCCCCTTTTTGTTAAAATCTTGTTTGCTGCGAAGTGGTAACTAAGGAGGCCATCTTGGATTTGGGACTTAGCATCAAATATTTATGCTAGCTCTCCCTACGTAGCAGCTAAACTAGCATATCGTTCAAAATCGTAGCTTTACGTAGAGTCTATGTAGCCGCTACGCTCTTGAACACACCCCTGTATTCTACCATAATGACCTAGTTTACTGAAACCACTTTACTGGTACCATTAACTAGTTCTCCACCCTCTCATCTGTTTCCTATTGTACTGATCTAGTTTATTCTTTTTACTAGATAAATGGTACCATTTACTAGTTCTCACCTTTCTTATCTGTTTCCTCTACAATGCCCTATTTGTTGGAACCTCTTGTCTAGATCTGGACATCTTACCTGTTATGATATTCATCTCTCATTTTGTGTTCCTCCCCTGCGTGGACCACTCTCTGAGTGGTACTGGTAACTAGTTCCCCATCCTTCATGTATTTTCTTGTCTTTGTCATCGTCCTGTATTGGCTCTTACTCTCCTACAAAAGGATAATGGTTTGAAGATTTAGAAAGCCCCAATGCAAATTAAAAGGATTTGTTGAATAATATTGCAAACTGTGAATTTAGTATGATGTTAACAAACTGGAAGATGAGAGGGAATTGGGTGCATTCTCTGGCTGTAATTTATCTTTGAAATAGAAATGAAATGATTTAATTAGATGTCCTGAAAATTCCAGTGTCAGGATCTTATATAAATTATTATTATTTCTCTTCTTTTTTTTTCAATGAGATAAGGGATAGGAAATACGCAGAGTGAAAAAAAGGTGTCAAATACATACATAAGTAATCAGAAAAGTTAGCAAATGATGCTTCAGAAATCCAAGTACCATGGTAACTATTGACACCATTCTTATTCCAGTCTATTGAATATAGTTTCATTCTTATATTGCACACAAAAGAAAGTTAACAACAGAAATACTGCCAGACCAATGACCTTCACACATGGAAACATGGAACTCATTAATTGGACTTGTTTATCAATGGGCAAAATGCCTTTCATCAACAGCTAAGAGCAGAAAGGGCAATCTTATTCATTCCTGACTTAAGGTTCATAAATCCTCTGCTCACTCATATAAAATGTTGCTTTACTCTTCTGATTTTCCAAAAGAAATGTATTTTAGACATAGAATACGACCAATTTTTATCATAGCTTGTGGGACAAAATTTAACAAAATAGACATTTTATTTTGACAACTCTATTAAGGAATAATAGACATTTATGTCAATAAGAGTTATCTCTCTTATAAGAGTACCAATAAACCTTAACCATTCATGAATCTGGCTAATACCAATGTCTTCTTTGGGGAAAAAAAGGCTTTAGCTAAAGCTACAAAACTGAAGATTTGTGAAACTAAGCATATTTTTAAATATAGAAACAGAAGGCTGTCTTGGGAGTCTACCATTAAAAATCTTAATTACATAATTCAGACATAGGGAAACAAAATCCCACCTCAAAGAATGACTAGAGTGCATGTTTTTCACTACCTCGCAGTCTTTTGATCTTTACTATCTTAAGAATGTGAGACCACATGTTTTATTTCAATATTCTCAATTTAAAAAAGGAAACCTAAAAAAATCTACACTAAACATTTAAACAAATTCTAACATCTTATTTAGTATTTCACTCTGGTGTTTTGGTTCAAGGTAAAAAATTGAACATTAATTTTTTTCCTCAATATTGAATATAAAAATCCTCAGTTTTAGCATGTTTAGTTGCACTGATGTTCTCCTTGAAAATCTGCAGGAAAATACAAGTGTATATAAAAAAAGGAAACCATCTTTTTATTTTTTTTTTCTCTCTCTTTCAATTTTTGGTCATAAATCTGATTTTTACAATCCATGTTTCTGCACTAAACAGCTCAGTATGATATGATATGTTTTGGGAATACAGATAATGTTTACAATGTGCTGTTTTTTCCTGAACCTTAATGGCAGTCCTGAAAGTGGAAAAAAAATATCTTTCAAAAACACTACATCAAGATAAATCTGCCAATTTGCTTTCTTGATAAAATTTCGAAATAAACATCTGATGATCATGCAGATAGAAACAGAATTTAGTTTGGATGTTTAGGTAGTATAAATTCTAACAGCAACACTGCAATCAGACAATGTGGATATGTTATGTTAGGGAAACATAGCAGTGATACACAAAAAATTTACAATGGAAAAAATGTGCATTGCTATTAAAGAAAGATAACTTATACAAATGTAACATTTTCTTTTTCTTTTGGTATGACTTCAATTTTTTTTTTTTCAATTCTATATGATGGGCAATGCTTTAAGTATATTTTATAATTTATATTTCTATCATTAATAAGTTGATAACATCTGTTTTATATGTGGATATATTCAGGCAATAACATTTTAATTATAGAGTTCATATAGTACAAGTAAGAATAGCTGTTATTACCATACATAAATGAAATATTTACATATAATGTATACATGGTCTTAGACATACTTCTCTGTAAAATTTTATGATACATTTTGTCAAGTTTTCTCTCTGTCAACAGTATTAGTATGGTTAGTATGCATGATGATGATTAATTAATCATGTTAATTGGGTGCTTGTATAAAAAAAACAAAAAACTAAGCAATAATTTCATTGATGATAAAAAAAATTTGAAGTACAACTTAATGTAAACCTGAGGGAAAAAAGAATGAGCAATTTTTCTCTTAAAATCCTTTTTTTAAATGAAATTGTGAAAGTCAATGTGAGTGTTGGTACATATGTACTTACACTTCTGCCCCTGATGTGTTTAGCTCGCCTCTCCACAGGCCCATCTGCCTTCTTCTCCCCTTCACCCAGGCTATCCACCGTGGTAACACTCTCCGTATCTGACCGCTGATCTTCCTCCACGCTGGTTACATGCGAGAGATCCTTTGATTTTCGTTTTGGCTCCTTAATCACTTTTGTTTCCATAGTGTCCAAATCGGTCTGAGGCACAATTTCTGTACTGTCACTGCTGTTAGACATACTCTTGTCTATACTGTTATCAATGGACGGTGAGGACTTCACCCCCACCACATCGCCATTGATTACCACTGTAGTCCCTGATGACGGAACAGGCTGACCGTTTATTGTTATTCCCTTGTCCGGCAGAACCTGTCCATTAATTGTGATCACAGAGTCCTTTTTCTCTGACTCACTTGTCCTTTCACTCTTTTCACTGGTGGTGTCCTCATCGGTAATTGTCACATTGACCACCTGAATTTCCAATTCTGAACTCTTTTCAGCACTTTTTGTTTCTCCTGTTTCTTCCTTTCCTTCAATTTTCTTGTCTATCTCTGCCACTTTATCCTTTTCCTCATGGGTCTTGGCTGGTTCCTTTTCTTCCTTAACTGGTCCCTCTGCAGGAACTTTGACTGGTTCCTCAGAGATAACTTCCTTTTTCTCCTCATCCTTGACTTGCTCTTCTTTAGCTGGTTCCTCAGACACATCTTTCTTTTCCTCCGTTTCCTCTTCTACAAGTTCACCCTCAATGTCTGACATGTTATACTCATCTTCTTCCTCCCCTTCCTCTTCATCAGACTGCTCTATAAGCTCCTGTACAGTGTCTAAAACAACTCCTGGTACAGAAGGTGCCAGCTTAGTGGACCTGATGACGTCATTGATAATCTCTTCAACCACCACATCCATCACTGGCTCATTATCAACTTTATCTTTTTCTGGGCTAGGTTCCTTTGTTTCCTTAACTGGACTTTCAATCTACATTACAAATGAAATTGAATCATTATTTATATTTCATTCACTGGATTTTTAAAAACACATGAAATAAAACTGCAAAGAAAATGTTTCTTTTTTCTTATTTTTGTGTCTATAAATTTAAAAATCATATAACGACACTACTCTTAACGTTAGATTATGTAGAGTGAAAGAAGTACGGACAAAATTTGTCACTGTTTTGGAACTACACCCCACTCCAAATACAACATTTGATATATGCTTCCTATTACCTCCTTTTTCTCCTCTGCTGCAGGAGGAGCCAGCTCTTTCTTGTCTTCTTTCTTCTCTTCCTCCTCTGCCTTTGACTCAGACTTTTCCTCCTCTTTCTTCTCCTCCTCAGCTGCTGGGGGTGCTGGAGCCACTACCCGTTTGGGAGAAGGTGTTTTCTGCTTTTCTGGCTCAATTTTGGCCACTGGTTCAGGAGTAGAGGGTTTCGGTTCAGTTTTAATTGGTTCCTCTGGTACCTTCTGAAAGACATTGAACAGATAAATCAAAGTTCACAAAATTTCTAGAATGTTAAGTACTTTCCCCCGTTTTAAAACTAAAATAAATAGTTATTAGAGAAATCTTGTGATTTAGCATTAAATGCCATTTATAAGCAACACTGCCTTACAATCTGGAGATACATGTACAATATACAGCTTTAATTTTCACAGCACTCTCCTGTCAAAATCTATTTCTACTCCAAGTCAAATTTAAGATTTTCCGATCCTTTTCTTATCTTTCCACTACCCCAATTATATTTCACAATACTTTTAACTTCCTAGTTCAGTCCAGCCTTGAAAATAGTGAAAACAAAGCTATATACAGTACCCCTCAGCTTCAAATAATCATTCTACAAGTTTTCTTACTGTCTTTTCTGTGACCTTGGGTTCTTCCTTTTCTGGGGTGGTTGCTTTGCTGTCCGACTCATTCTCCTCAAGGTCCAAAATCTTTGAAGATACATCACTCATATGACGCTACAAAATGCAATTATATCTCCATATACACATGTATATTATCTTCCATTTCTTCCTTTTAGTGTATAATATCTACTATTGAAAGAGGAAAGATACATAAGCATTGCAATAATTATTCACAGGTAAGTATATTAAAAAAAAAACAGAATTAAAAGGATAATTTAAAATCAAATTGTTCTGTTTTTCTGAAGCTCTGTGAAAGAAACTCAATGAATTCTAGGCACTCCTTTGCTGTTTTTACAATCTTTATTTTATTTATTTATTTATTTTTTTTTGGGGGGGGGGGGGGGGAGGGGGCACCAACATACCAGATGTGTGTTAAACCTCCTTACGGTAGATAAGAATCTTCCTCAGCAAAAAAAAACTTTTATCAAAGACTTCAGGTATATGAAGTGATACATGTACATGTACCTGCCCCATAATATTTTTTATTTATTTTGAATATATAAATAATTGCTCAAATTGTGCAGTAAACAATAAATGGCTAAATATGTGATGACTGCAGAAATGTCCGATTATTTTCGTCTTTAAAATCTAGGGAATTTTTTTCTTTTGTGCCCTTAATACCAAAAAATTCAGTCTTCCACTAATTAAATAATTTTCTTAATCATATACCTCACTAATGCTGTCATAGTTGAAATTTCATAATTGTAAAATTTCACTTATTTTACAAAAATTCTATCAAGTTTGGTTTAGGGAAACATATAATAGCCATTGTTTTATAAACATTTAGGTCTTTCCAGCTTGTATCACCAACAAAAGTTTCCACACACACCTTCATCTCTAAGATTTCCTGATCTTCTGGAAGATCTTCCACAATCTCTTCCACCTCAGCCTTGGATTCCATGATAAGGTTCAGCACTTCCTTCTTATCATTGTAGCCTGCTATAAAAGGATGCTGCAAAGAAGCCATACAAAAATCAACATCTGACTTTCTTAACAAGGGTTTACTAATTAAAGTTTACTTTTTTATATTTCATTGGGGTAGAAGTTTTGATCAGGTACCCATTCTCTGCAAGGTTTAAAACCTTAATAAATATTGAGATATTGGTGATGTCCTCATTACCAGATGTATGCCAGTGAAATTAAATTCAAACAAATTTTTAGGAATCCATGTAAATTATCTTGCCATAAAATAAAATGAATCATGATAATAGTAATTATAACAGAAATGGTGTTTTGCAGTCTCCATAAAAAAATTAAAACATTTTAAAGCAACCCATTTTTTTTTTTAACAATCACTCTTAGAATATATAATAGATACAGGGAGGTAACTCCTCACTCTTCCTCACCTCTAGCAATTCTCCTGTTGTTGGTCTCTGGTCGGGATTCTTAACCAGACATTTTGCTATAAATTCTTTGAAGGTTTTTGACCTGCAACAGAGTAATAACATGTAAAATTTTCATAAAACAGATACTTTAGCTAAAAATTCAAAATGTGTGGGTTTTTTTTTTTTTTTAAATTTTTTTAACAAATATACAACTTGCTTTTTATATTCAAATCTGTAAAACCCTGTATACAGCATTAATACTGTAGATCACTGAATCTTCACGACACCTATCTTCGCGAGAAAGTTACTTGGTATTTATAAGTGAGACAAAATTTTCACATTTATGGTAATTGCAGTATATAATCTATTAGACTAAGAATAAGAAAATATGCAGGAATAAAATTTTCGTGAGCAGACCCTCTCATAAAATTTATTGAAAATAGGTTTTTGCGAAGAAAAAGTGATTCACAGTATATATTTGGTGTTCAACACAATAAATATTCACAGTTACAAATCACTTGAAACACTTGGGGAACAAATGCTGGTTTAAAATGGTCCATGGTTTCTACTACAATACAAGTGTACTAACCATTTTGATGGCTTGGCAAGTGTTGGGGGATCTGATTTCTGTATTTTAATTAACACTCTCATTGGATGCATGTCATGGTTTGGAGGCTCTATCTGAGCAAACTCAATTAAAGTGATTCCTGAAAATAGAAATATTAAATCACTGTGTACATATATAAATGTGCACATTTCTATCATTTCATGCATCATATTTATTTTGTACTGAAAACTATGCACATTTTATCTTCATATCATATATACATCTATGACCATCATACTGAAAATATGCACTTCTTATCAATACATACATTTATAAATATTGTATATATACTTTCTTGATGGTCATATACAATATACTATAGTTGTTAACAACTTATTATATATATATATATATTCTGACTACTAATCTTCTTCTAAGAAAGTGAGAAAAAAGATCAGAAATATCCCTTTTGACTCACATCTATAAGGATTTATGTGAGAATAATACATGGTAATTAACACTCTCAATATCTATCTGCTAATTAAATCTTATATCATACCCAATGACCATATATCTGCCTTGAAGTTGTAGGGACTGTCTTTTAGTGTTTCACACATTATCACCTCTGGCGCCATCCTACAATAATTCAACTTGATTATTTTATGTACTCATGGAAAATTTTATCTTATATCTTATTTTTTCTTCATATTTTTTTTCAGAAATCATCCATTTTCAATGTTGAGCTGACATTAAAGCTGTGACTGTGAGCACTCATGACATAATTACACATGCACAAGTAAATGTTGTATCTCAGAAAATACCGTAACTATTTGTCCAACTCAGAAAAATTAGCATTAAAATATGTGAAATACTATTTAATGAACAGAACAAAAGTCTCATAAGCCACAAAGCTCAAAGAAGTCACATTTTTATTCACTTCTTAGTTCTGGAGAAGTTGAAAATGCAAATGACACAGACAGAAGCAACAGATGTTGAAAACACATCAATCAGAAATGCTCATTAATTTTGAAACTTTGGCTCAGAAGCTAAATATTTTGTACTGAAAAATTATATTTGATGATTTGATTTCTTTCAAGGAAATAAAGGGAAAAAGATTTATAATTTTACCAATATGGAGTTCCAATAAATGAATCTCGTCTCTGATTTGTTCTTGTATTCTTTGCAGAAACTCCAAAATCAGCTACAAAAAAAAAGATATTAAATTCATTAATATATAAATAATAATATAATATAATACAATATAATAATAAGTAATATATAAGTAATCAATTGGACATCCTGGATATGACAAAATAAAACTTTTAAAAACATGTCTTACTAAAGGAACCTGTGGATTTATATGGGGTAATTCTGGTTGGGAAAAATATTAAGATCATAAAATCAGTATCTCTGTAAAAAATATTGTACAAAGTAAGTGTACTTCTGGTTGTCATTTAGAATTAATAAATTAACTTTTGCAGTGTTTTCCCTTTATTTCAAAGTAAAGGGTTGGAGATCAATTGTATCACACTAGGGGGTTGAGGTTTACGAATAAAATCTCTGTGGACCTTACAATAATTATTTTTAAAATTTTTTTTATTTCTAAGCAGCATTTTTATCAATTGAAGCGGTCAATTTGGCCGGTAGCCAGTTCTTAGGGAAAATGCTGCTTTTGTCACAAAAAACTTACCATCTTAATCATTTATTATTTTTGTGTAATAAGTTGTGATCAAATGGACATGGTTACTGTCTTTGGCAATTTATTTACAAATGAAAGTATTGTTAATCCAAACCACATAATTTGAGTCCAAGATGAATCATACACAAAACAAGGTAAAATGAATCAGTCAAAGTTTGTGTTCTTAAGTAATTGTTTGTCAATTCATTACAATATATTTTGAAGAAACCATGACAAATTTATCTTATAAACTTTATTTTGTATAACAAGGAAAACATCAGGACAGTGATTCTGTGTAAAAGCCTTGACACCCAGTGACAATTAATTTACTGCTTCACTGATCTCATTATTGGTGACAGCTATTTCCCACTAAAAATGGAACACTTGCTTTCATAATTGAGTGGTGGATGGCAGTATCTCTTATTAGAACAAGATAAGCAAAAATGTACATGTAAAGGAGGAAAAAAAATTGACAGAAGTGGCAATAAAAGTGAATATGGTGAAAAATAAATAGTATGGTCAAAATTTGAGACATGACTGTTCAAGTTTACTAAATAGAAGAGCCCCCCACCCCCACTCTAACCCATGTCTAAAGTGTGAGCATTATCTAACCAGCCTTAATTACCCCCACCTTCCCCCACCTCTGGAGCCCCCCTCCAGTGTGAGGATTATCTTACCAGTCTTATCCCCACCTTCCTCCTCCCCTGGATTGAATATCATGTCACCAGCTTTCTTAACTTCATGTCCCCTTCCTTTTCGGAGTAAACGTCAATTGCCAATCTTACCTAACTTGACGTCCCCCTCCGATGTTAGCAGTACGTTTCCCGCCTTGAGATCCCTGTGAATGACCTTGTTATTATGGAGGAACTCCAGACCACTACACATGTTGTTACAGACATATCGGATCTGGTTCTCTGTAAGGGGTTTTTCCAGCTCCACCATGATGCTGTCTATGGCCCCTCCCCCGCAAAATTCTATATACATCTGGAGAGAAACAAGCATGAAGAATTAAATTGAAAAAAAGATATTTATATTGCATTATATGAATAAACAACACATCCTCAATAATGACAGTTTTAAACAACATATAATTTAATCAAAAGAATCTTAATTCATTTTTATTAATCATAAAAAGACATTTTACCTAGTTCTTGATTTTCATCCATGTTTTTCATACATATACATGCACTGCATTTTTTTAAGTGTTTGTATAAAACTTAAGTATATAATACAAGTACACACTAGCATTTTAAAAAACAAAATATTTGAAAATTCATCAGAAAACCATATGATAGCATTATGAAGCTATTTTTGTATGCCTGTTACACTTCAGATGAATGTAAATACAGGAAAATCTGAAAATGATATACAATGCAGACAGGCTGATTAACAGATTATAATTTGTAAGGTTTGTATCTATAACACCTACTTATCACTATAAACATGCATGGACATATGACTCATGTCACAGTTTTGCTGAAAATATTTATCGTAACCAAGCTTCCTCCTTGTCCCATCTGATAAATTTTATACTTCCTTATTAATATTGACCATTCAAAATTTTAATATGATAAAATTTCAAAATGTTGTGATTAACCTTCTAAGGCTTCAAGCTCAAACAAGGAAAAACTACATTTTTCGTGTAACCTACATGTACTAAACAAATAAAGTTCCTCTTGTGTGCCTGGCATACAGACCCTATTTGTCAGTTAAGCTCAATTCTATGAATTTTTTGTCAATTATGTAGCTCTTTGCCATAATCATGATAGTTTTGGAAGAGTAACATTAGTAATGTTATATATAAAAAGCAGCATTCCATACAATGAACCTTGTCAATGGATAAAGACAACTATTATTTTCTTACATACTTCCTAGAGTATATAGTAACAATTCCTAATTATACTTGAAAATATTTCCCACATTCTTTAACTCTGAACAATCAAACCAAACCCTGTCCTTTCATTTGGAGCCAACAGATAAGAAGCTAAATGACTTGTAACTACATAGCCCGTACCAGAAGTTTCCCATCGAAGACAAATGCTTCGTAAAGCCCAACTACGTTCTTGTGACGACATTCTGTAAGGATGTCAATTTCTACAGAGAAATCTTCTATGTCTTCCTCAGATTTTATCTCTACTTGCTTCAGGGCTGCCAGGGAACCATTCTCCTTGTTTTGGGCCTACAAAAAATGAAATTAAGTTACATTTTAAATAGAAAAACACGAACATGGAAAGCTTTTGGAAGTGACATGAATTTTTCAATATTTTTGAAAATCAATCTCTATATTTGCTATCTCTGTAAACATGGAAAATTTAAGGAGTAGATCATCACATAAATTAAGTGAATTGACTATGTAATTTTTCTTTTTTTTTTGGTTTTCATTTGGGGTTGGGGGGGGGGGGGGGAGGGGGAGGAACAAAGCTTTGATGTTTTATTAAGCCATGTGTCATTAGCATTACAACCTCCCTAACCCCCTCCTCCCTGGTTGCAATTATACTTATTGCAAATTTATCAATGTCAAGAAGAAAAGAAAAACAACAACAAAACAAGAGGCCCATGGGCCACACACTCACCTGAGCACTTTGGCTAGGAAAGAGCAGAATTCAGTTCAGTATTGAAAAGTGTGAGTTTATAAAAGTGGTTCCGGGGAGAGGGGGAGGGTACGATTTCAACAAACTTGAATCTACACCACCTAAGGATGGGTTTGAATTAATATGACTAATTATAATGGCTTTGCTGTTCATAAGAAGAAAATTTTTAGATATATCCTTTTTTTTCTCCTTTGTATAACAATGATCCCCTGTTATGGCCCCTCTATACTCCTGGGGGTCATGATTTGAAAAAAATTTGAATCTACATTACCTGAGTATGCTTTTATATTATTCATACCAATCACGGCTTTGCTGTTCTTGAGAATAAGATTTTTAAAGATTTTCCCTATGTATTCCTATGTAAAAATTTGATCACCCACTGTGGCCCCACCCTACCCCAGAGAGTCATAATCTGAACAAACTTGAACCTACACTACCTCAAGATGATTCCATATAAATATGACTAATCATGGATTTGCTGTTCTTTAGAAGAAGATTTTTAAAGATCTTCCCCTTTGTATTCTTATTCAAAACTTTGATCGTCCATTGTGGCCCCACCCTACCCAGGGGGGTAATGATTTGAATAAACTTCTACACTACCTCACGATGACTCCACATAATTTTCATATTTTCTAACATAGTAGTTCTTGAGAAGAAGATTTTTAAATGATGCCATTAATTTTTCATGAATTCGTAACTACTAGTATCTCCCCTTGGAAGAAGGAGTACATGGCCCTTCATTTGAACAAACTTGAATCCCCTTTACCAAGGGATACTTTGTAGCAAGTTTGGTTGAAATTGACCCAGTGGTTCTTGGAAAGAAGGTAAGAATGTGAAAAGTTTACAACAAAGACGGACAACAACAGACAATGGACAAATTTTGACCTGGAAAGCTCACTTGAGCCTTCGGCTCAATTGAACTAAAAACGAATCCTTTGTAGTTATATTTGTGTGATGTAATTATCAATTCTGTGACTGGTCTATGATGACAGGGTATTTATGGCTAATTATGTCCGTAACAATTTTAGCAGATACTTCCTCTGTACACTGTTACAGTTCTGCACTATGAAATTGTTACTGCAAACCAAAACAAAAGATCATATACATGTATTTAAATAACTTAATGTCTGTCATTACATGCCCTTTTAAGTGTATATATACCCACATACATGCTTCTCAACAGAAAACACATCTACTTTTCAATTTTAAACTACATTTTTAAATATTAAATCCCCTATACTTTGCGACACACGTACTCCACAGTTGCCTATACTGATATCATCCCAAACAGATATGTGTATACTCCCCATCATTACATTATCTTAGCTTCCTGTTTTTAAGGGGGTTCACTTATAAAGAGTTACAAAGCCATTTCCTCCTCTGATCTGTCATCATAACTTTTGCTGCTCATATAACATATAATTTTATACTTTACAAAAAATCTGTTTTCTCTAAGATAGAGCAAATTAACACAGTATGATGAAAGATTTGCAGGGAATAAATCTCTCCTTAACTTTTCACTTCTGTGTTACTTTTCATTATTACCCTGGTTTAATTTTCCTCATACTTTCTCTCCCATTTTCATTTAGTTGATAAGACTAGTATAATTAACCTGCCACTGAAGTGAGGGAGAGGGAGCTAGAGCTCCAATTGTAGCAGGGCCAACTAGGTTGTACTGGATAACATTCTACAATGTATTGATCTTTCTCAAAATTTACACTGTCCCTCCTTTTTTTCTGCTCTATGTTGTCTAGATTTATCTTTAAAATCTGAGTGAAAGTGAAAGTGCTTCTTGACTGAAAGTTTATCACACCCAACACTTCAAAGTTTCCATTCATATATGCAAGCTAGCTAGAGGTTGAGTCATGGCTATAGAAAAAAAAAACCTTCAATTTTTTTTTTTCTCTACACAAAAAACACAAAGTGTAGGTCTAAAGGTATTATTATGCAAAAGAATGTAAGACCATATTAATCATTTAACTTTTAGTGTGTAATCATTTTCTGAAAAGTTTCTTGACTTATCCATCACAGAGCTAGTATAGTACAACTCATGTTAAGATGTGTATGCTCTACTTTCTGATCTGTGCTTGTTAAAATTGATTTCACAAGGAACTACTTAACTTTTGTATTTCACTGCTTCCATGACTAGATAAGTGGATATATAAAAAAAACTGATTATACACATGCGAATTACACACACAGGTTTTCTTAAACTATACTCTCAATTCATGAGAAGTAGAGAGTTAGATTTTTGAATCAACTAAAAGCAAATATACACAGGTCTAAATCTCTCAGATGAATAGTTATAAGGCCTGGTCTGAACATACTTTAATAAGTTGGCTATGATAAAATGAAGTTGTTGGTATATATTTACAAAATGATAAGGTAGATCTATGAAATATATAACCACAATCAGGTGTTAGGGGTCGTTACTGCCCACATGACCAGGTAATTACCATGTGTCGTCATGTGTCGGGCACCTGTAAGTCTAGCAGCTGACACAGAGAATGGTCAGTCACAGCTTCACTCAGTAGATCATTAGCTTAAGGTTCATCAATCCTCTGGTCACTCATATAAATTTGTTTCAACTCTAATGACTTTCCAGAAGGAAATTCAATTTATGATTCAAATTCACACAGTTTCAGCATACCTTATGGGGGAAAAATTGATAGAAATGACCTTTTTACATGACAATATTTCATAAAGCAATAATAATCATTTATTCCATTGAGTTATCTCTCTTATCAGAAGGTCAATGAATCTTGAAAGCATCAAGTTCATCACCACATTGTCCCATGTCCTACACATATTATTCCTATAATCAGATATTTACTGCAGTGAGAGGGTACATGCAGATACTTAAGTTATTAATGTCGAAGGGTAATCAATCATTTCCTACATAAAAATCTTTATCAAATCTGCTTTTTTCACAGTTCTCTTTTTTTGGGGGAAAAATGTTGCCTTTCTTCACTGGGTGATGTTACCTATAAAGGAGTATGAAAATGTGGTTGCTGGAATGTCTTCTTCCAATGGACTGTCAAATATTAAAAAACTTGTTATATTAAAACTTTAATATTCATAGAAAACTTGAAAAAAAAAAAACAAAAAAAAAACAGTCATTAACATTTCCACTTATTTGTTGTTCAATCTGTCCACCATCCAGAATCCAGCAATGGATAGATATATTTAACAGTTTTAACAAAAAGTAGCAAGATATTTCAATTTTTTGGGCTCTTATAGAGAACATATGATTTCAAGAATATTTTAAATTACAATCCATAATGCCATCAATTAGGAAAATGTCATACTCAAGAATTGTCTCAAATTTGATTTGGGTTTCAAGAAGATTTAAAGTCAAGAACCTGGTGATATAAAACTTTCAATGTAAGTCTCCATAAAGTTGGTACATCATCAAACATGAAGATCACAAAGTATACATCAATTTTTTTTCTTCTTTTCTTTTTGAAAAGGGGGGGGGGGGGTTATTTCCATCCTTACAAAACCTATCAATTTGTCTAAACAACTATTCATTCAATGATAAGAAAAGTAAAGATAAGTATATGCAACACTTCTGAACTACTTCAGTTTGACAAATCCTAGTAAACAGAGATATTATCTAGGAAGTAATAAATCACCAAAGTTACATAATAATGCATTGACTAAAATCTAGCCAATATCAAAGCCAGGAACAACAGACATTTTGTCCATTTTGTAGAGTAGCAGCTAAGCACTTGGACAAGGAATGTCCATTAATTCCTGTCTAAGTCTCCATAGAACAAGTGGCTTTCCATTCCTGTTCACATAAAATCCTTCTGTCATTGTTACCCAAATTAAATTAACAGGTAACTAAGATGTTGACAGTAGCAGCGTCTGGCTTTAGGGCATGGTATACATTGTGTATACCAGTGGTCCAAGTGTAAATAAAAGTGTATATACTGCTGTGAGAGTATTGCTGTGTACAAAATTCAAGGTCTGGTGGAGTACGTTACCTATAAATTCTTGTGTATACTTTTCAACCTGTTTTATGCATTTTTCTCTCAAAGCATCACACAAAGGTGGGAGGAAACTAACATTTAATTTCATGGATAATAAAAGGTTCAAATTAAACATTTTAAATCCACCTTTCCAAAGAGCAAGTGTCGGTTTATTTTAAATCAAAGTGTATTGCACACAATTCTGAATTATAGTCACTGCAATGTAAAAAGTAGCACCCAGTTGATAATGTGCATGCCTGCCAAGTCAATTAGAGTTAAAATCAACAATAAAATGAACCTTGCTTTTCAAGTTCCTTGTAGATAATAGACAATGGAGTTGTAGTTATGCATCTTGCACCGAGAACAAATATGCTCCTATGCTAATATGCACAGTTCAACTGTCTACTTCAAGCTACTGTACTAATATCGCATGTTGACAGTGATATATAGAGCATGGTAAAGAAACCCCCCCTAACCACAATTATTTGTATGTAGATCAAAGCTAGCAAGGAAAAACAAACAATGTTCATACCTATAGTCATCTATGTGCACATATACAATGCTTGCATCAGCATTATAGCTCTAGTGTATTTTTACAAAATCATATTCTACAAATGTGTTCACTTTTCCTATATAATTTAAATGATGCTTATCTTTCAATAAATAATTTCATTTTTAAAATATCTATAATTTTTGCAAATTAAATTTAAATTCTTTTTCCATACTTCAGTGAGTGAAACTGTAAAACTATCATTTGCTTGGTATTTATTTATACACATGAGCCATAAATATAAAGTGTACCATGACAGATTAAAACATCCTATGAATGGAGCACCCTATAAGGCTATATAAGTCCTGGGTATTTAAATTTATTTGAATGTGCACTCTGAATAATTCCTTTGAGGTTCAGGGTTATTATTATCATCATTATGAAGGAGAAGATAAGGCCTCTTGTCTAGTCAAAGAATACTCTGTTTGGATATAAAAATAATCAAATTTTGCTTATAGATCTAACACATGCATGGCTATTAATATAACATGTGTATCAGAAAGTTTTACCTACAAATAATTTTCACAAGGATTATTCTATTTTTGAGTTGATATTTTCTACCTAATTTAATCTGATAACCTTGGACAAATGTATAAATATACATGGAATATTCTAATTTCAACCATTTAAATATTGTTAATGTTTACTTTGATGTCATGATAAAATTCAAATGTTTACACCAGCTTATTAACCTTCCTGTAAATACAGTACTGACTGATCAATTTTTGGAGTACGTTTTTGAAGGCATTTAATAAAATGTACTTTCATCTTCAACAATTTTAGGTATATCATGATGAAAAAAATAAAATAGGGATGACATCACTGCAGAATTTCTGGAATATATCTGACCACACCCCCTAATGTTTTTTTAGAACCGTAAATAAAGTATAAGCATGCCCCTCCCCAATGATTCAAATAACAAATAAAACCAAATATCTAAAATAAAGTATATCATAAATTTTCTACTATCAATGTCAAAAGTAGTTAATGTCATAACGATCACCACCTGGTGAACTGAACCGTGACAAAATGTCAAACATCTTCCTTCTTCTACTTCACCCACCTTGTAAACTTTCCCAAAAGCACCGTCACCGAGTTCTCCGACAATATCCCATTTATTGGAGGGATCCACATCTCTAGTAATGTTCTTATAAGCCGATTTCCTACGAGCCGATTCTTCTCCTCCAAGTTTGAAGAATTTTCGGAAGCTGTTCAAGATTGACATACTGTTGTTGACACCTGTATATGCACTTTACCAGTCCCACACTGATTACATGGAAATGTATAAAGTTTATGAGCTAAACAAAATAGATGCATATTAAGGGTAATTACTGTAGTATAAAAACTGCATTCTGCATGCTATAATGAGGTTAAACAGCACTTCTTTTTCCTTCGGTTAGGAGACCTGTTCGATAGGAAAGTCGCCATGTTTTCATATTCCTTCGAAGCATGCGCAGAACAAATCTCTCAGAAATACTTCCTGTTTCATTTTCCTTATTCAAGTTATTTCCCTTTGCGAAGTTTGCGATTCTTAAAATGCAAACTTGTGACAAGTGTCTCCCTTATGCTTTAAAATATCTCAATTAGATTTTGGAGCGGAACCGGTACAAAAAGCATTTTCTTTATGGAAATATGATCAATTTAAAACGCTCATATCACTAACGTTACCAAACAGATTTAAATTACCATTCTCTAAACATCCTTGTTCCGTATAATAAAAGACTTTAATAAAAAAAAAATCTTCCATATTCCTTCAGTGACATGACTTAAAATTGATCTGTTGATGGGATTAAAAAAGTTAAATTAAAAAAAAATGGTTTAGTCAGCACTATGGATAACAGGCCCAACCAATTTCATTTGTAAGGGTGGAGAGGGGTAACAATCGAACAGGAATTTCTTGCAAGAAAAAAAAAGGGTCATCAGATGTTCTTTTGAGGTGTCCTTTTTTCTATTATATAGCTTAGCCTTTTTTTGGAGGGGGCACCCTTACTGGTTCCTACGGGTTTGCATATAATAGCAAATGCATTTGCAGGTTGCAAACTAACACTGTATCATTCATTCTGTATCCTTTGTGAAATTGCAAAACCAAGCGACTTCCTTGAAATTAAAGTAAATTCATATGATAGCCAATCGGAATCGGCAAATGAATTAACACCACTGCACAACATCAGTGGCATGGCCTTCTAATGCAATTTCAGGGCCGCCGCCAAATTTCTGGAAAAGGGGATACTGCTGGGAAGGGTATACCCCTCCCAGTCACAAGGCTGGATTTCAACTAGGTTTCGTCGGGGGTGTCAGAAATAAAAATGTTTTGATCAGCCAATTAAAATAATTCCTTTTTTCATCAACGAATTAAGTTCTTCGTGAGTTGGTTTGAACATATTTTATTGTAGTTTCTAATTACAAAGGGATTGGGCACAAGTTCTAAAAACTTATTACGCCCTCTCCCTACATGTAAATGACAAAAATTTAATTAAATTAAATTAGGTCACAGTTAAATATGTACAAAATATTCAATATTAATGAAATTTACAAATCAATGCATTTTAAAAAATCATACATATAATTTTGTATATACATGTATATATAAATAAATATATTTATAATAATACTAATACTAACATGTAAATCTGCCAGAATGTTTAATAAAAGTTTGAACAATACAGAAAAGACGTTCATTCTCCACAGCACTCAATGAATCTATCCCCCATAATAACACATGTGTATCTAAAATGTGAATTTTATCAAATAATAAAAATTTATCAAGAAATTCCTTTCTGGCTTCTTTATACTTTGGACATATAAAAAAATAATGATACGAATCTTCTTTTTTGCCACATGAGCATAAAGGACTTGAGATTAAATTACATCTGTAGAGGTCAATATTTAATGCACAATTATGTCGAAGTCTGGTCTGGAGAACATTCAGTCGCCTGTTACCATATTCAAAGTATGACGGTGGGGCAGATTTTTTAATACTTATTTTAGATTTAAAATTTGACAACAGTTGTAAGTTTCTATTTTCAAGTGGTAATGAGTTCCATTCATTAACTACAGTAGGAATAAACGATGACTTATAAGTCTGTAATCTACATTTTGGAATATCAGAATTTTCAGAATTTCTGGTAGAATAGCTAGATGTATTGCATCGCATATTGGGAAGTATGTTCATTAGATAATCTGGTACTAAATTATTATGCATTTTAAAAAATGTCTTTAATCTTGCTGTCTGTCTTCTACAACTAAGTGGTTCCCATCCCGTTTCGAATTAAAGTGAATCTTTAGAGGCTATAGTTGTTAAACCTGTGACAATTCGTGCAGCATAAAGTTGCAATTTTTCTAGTTTATCGTTATCATTGTTTTGACAGCAGCCCCATACCACAGAAGCATATTCAAGTTGTGGTCTTATAAATGACGTATACATAAGGGAGAGAGATTTTCGATTCATTTTAAATTGTATTTTTTTTAATAGAGCCAATTTTCTGTAGGCACTAGCCAGTAAATTTTCAATATGTGATGACCAACTAGCATCATGAGAAAATAATACTCCAAGGTGTTTGTGCTCAGTGACAAAGTCCAATTGACATTGTTGAAAGAGAAGCTTAGGATATTCAATGTTTTTCTTTGTGCTGAAAATTATTGCTTTAGTTTTAGAGGGGTTGAATTTCATTAACCATTTTTTTGACCGAAGTTCCAGTGCATTAAGATCTTGATTAAGATTTCTTTCAATAATTTTCATATTTTGAGATGAATGCTGCAAAGAATTGTCATCTGCAAATAGTTTACATAGAGTGATCATATTGTCAGCAACATCATTCACATAGATTAAAAACAAAAGTGGCCCTAATACTGAGCCCTGAGGAACACCAGCATACAAAGGTTTAGGTGATGATAACAAATTACGATACAAAATTTTTTGATACCTACATTCTAAATAGCTTTCTATCCATTTATACAAATTTCCATTTATCCCATATGTTTTAAGTTTGAACAAGATACCTTTATGCCAGACACGATCAAATGCTTTTGATAGGTCACAAAATATCATACAACAAAATTTACCATCATCAATAGATTTAACAATATTATCATATGTTTCAATTAACTGATATACAGTAGAGTGACCAGGTAAGAAACCAGCCTGATATTTATAAAAAAGATTATTATCATGAAAATAATTGTAAATATACTTAAAAACAACTCGTTCCATGATTTTCCCTACACAGCTCAGCAACGAAACTGGTCTATAGTTTGACACTAAAGAAGGATCTTCTTTTTTAAAAGAGGAAGTACATTAGCTAGTTTCCATTCGTGAGTTAATATTTGGCAATGAGTAGTACTGTTTTTATATTTAAAAAAGTTTTCATTGTTGTGCAAGTATATTATTTTTTAATTTCAAGTGACGTGTAGCACAGTCACATGCAGGTCAGTGATTTGAGACCAACAAGAAATATATATATATATATATATATATATATATATATATATATATATATATATATATATATATATATATATATATATATATATATATATATATATATATATAAAATCATATAAAGCCAATTTATTACATAACATATCATCTACCGAGGTTAATTTTTGGTTACTTTAGTATATATATTCCGAAAATCCAAGAAGCGTTCTGGACACCACCACCTACCCCCACCCCACCCACTCCCTTTTAGATCTGTGCATGTAAAGTGTCCCTCTAGGAGATACAAGGTAAGAGCCAAAAAAAGTAACTTGAACCCTGTAGTACCATTGCAGTTCTGATTTTTTTTTTTTATACGAATTTAAAAGATCTACATCATTTCATATCATTTACAACAAAACAACAGATGGACATGCACCGTTTTTTTTTTTAAAAAGTCTGCAATATGGTAAGGTTAATAACAATAATGTTGCGTAATCATAAAACATGCCACACATCCAGTTAATAAATCCAAACTAGATGTTGTCATAAGCCAGTAATACCCACACTTGGGGGTGGGGGGGGGGGGATGCCTCTAAATGTACTCTCCGTCAAATTTGGGTAACCATGGAAGAAGCCAGATATAATTCTATAATTTACACAAAATATATCATATGTATTACGTGTACACTGTATTTGTCAAATAGAAATGTATGGTCAGGTGAACAGGCGGCCCATGGGCTTCGAATGCGGGTGGTTTCGCCCCAATTACCTGTTCGCTCTGAGTGGTTTCGCGCCATTTCCCTGTTCGCCCTGAGTGGATCGCCCCAAGTGGTTTTCTTCAAACATTACAGTGTGCTTGATGTTTATTTAAGCAAAGGTCGTTTGATTAATGAGTGTTTAGATTAATATAATTATTAAACACTTTAATTAAATTCAGTTATGAGTTGCCGATCAATACTAGTAAATATATTATTTCCAGTCCGATTTTCACGACAAATCTATACCAACTTTTCTTTAAAAAATCACGAACACGGGGAAAAACAACTTAATTCATCTGTGTTAAAATACTAGTATGTATGTTTAGTTTGAGCGTTTCAATTTTATTCCAACAATCTCCATGCATCTCAGTTTTTTTTTCAAAGACTTACTTCATTAAAAACATAATCAAATAGGTGTGCCGTGAAAATCGCTTTAAACATATACAATAAAAACCTTTTCCATAGCACATACGCAAAAACCACAAACGTAAACATTGAAGATTTGTCATGCGCGGATCTAGAGGGGGTCGGGGGGGGGGGGATGTCCGCCCCCTCCCCCTGGAATTTGCAAAGTTACTAAAAGTATATATACTGAAGCAAATTAAAAATGAATTTGGACCCCCCCCCCCCCCCCAGAAAACGTGGACCCCACCATCAACACTATATGGAATTCCATATACGACAGTCAACTGCTTACTGTCAACTGCTCACTGCATAATACATGTAACATAATATTATTGCGCAAGCTCAGTGATGAAATGACGAGACTTTATCTTGCTAAAGATATATACTGTTAAAAGATGTAAAAACTACGTTATATTAAACCCTTCATAAGAGGTACAGATGAGGTACTTTAATTTTTTCTGAAAAAAAAAAAAAAAAAAAAAAAAAAAAAAACACAAAAAAAAAAACAACAACAACAAACAAACAAACAAACAAACAAACAAAAAACAAATCCGCAGATATTTAGTTTTGATGCATGTCAGTTTTTACAAATACATTTTGTAGTACATTGTCAGTAAAGGAAAAACATTTAAAAAACAACAACAACAACAACAACAACAACAACAACAACGCTCTTAACGATAAATTAAGTTAGAAATATTCAATAATACAGATGATCTTCAAATAAGTCAAAAATAATATGAAAATGTTTATATCCGCTAAAAGATGGCCCTTCTTATTCCGTATTTCAGTGTTTTTGAATTTCATTGCCCATGCATCAGTTTCTTTTGAAATAATATATTTAGACATA